AATCATGTGGCAAGAACCGCAATTATGTGGGGAGACTGTAAAGGTCAGCGTGGTGATCGTATAGCGTCTAAGGTAAAGCGTGCTGGGTTGCATTTAAAAATAGGTCGAAGAAGACAACGTAACAAGTGAATGTGACTTCTAATTTTATCTGTCTGCCTCGTTCATTTGAACTGAAAAAAAATTCAGCATGGTTGTCATAGCAATGTTTAATTATAAAATAGAGCAGAAAATGCTATTTTCTGATATCTCGGTTACAGCGAGCCAGACAACCAATGCTCAACTGTATTTTTAAAGTAAATCCTCTGAACTAACAGCATGTTTTTTTAACAGCCTAATGAGTGCCTTATTGAACCCAAGGATCCAAGAGTTCATTGTCCCAAGCTTATACATATTAGTTTATTATTCAAATTATTCCCACCTTTGAGGGTTCCAGCGGATGGTACCAACAATTCAGTGGATGACGTGTCAGTTGGCAGCACTCACACCTCTGAGTCAGCTCTGCGTCAGTACTTTGAACTTACCTATTCTAGGCTGACTCTCCAATGCTTGGGTGGGGGGGGACATTTTGTGTGTCAGCGTGACTCTGTTGGTAACACTCTTGCCACTCAGTCAGAAGATTGTGGGTTCAAGACCCACATCTGGTCTTGAAGTTGTATAGTCTTAGGCTGTGGGGGGGTGGGGGATTAGCATCGTTGGAGGTGCTGGCTTTCCGATGAGGCCCAAGTCTGCCTGTTCAGGTGACGTTAAAGATCCCATGGTACTGTTTGAAAAGTGAAAGGAGATTCTCCTGCTGTCTTGGCCAACAATCCCCCGAATAAAATTGGGCGTTCACTTCATGGCTGTTAAGGGGACATTGTCGCGCATAAATTGGCTCCCGAGGTCACACCACAAAACACACAGTAAATCCTGTGAAGCGATTTGGGACGTCCTCCCGACGTGAAAGGCGCCATGTCATATGTAAGGATATATTTACAGTAAAATACTACGATAAACTTCGAGACTTCCACCTGTCGTGAATATGTAGTAACTGGGTGCAGTACATATCATTTTTTTCTCTATATAGAAAGAAATAACTTCAAAGCAATACTAAAATCTGAATTGGGTTTTAATAAAAATGTCATGGCACGTTTAAGAGAAAATAAAAAAGTTATTGGAAAATATCTTCACTGATGTGAATCAAGATACCATGAAAGGATTTGCACACGCACAGTTACTCTGCCCTCAGGTGGCAGCAAGGAGTTACTGATAGATATGTCACTTTTTCTTCATTGTTACAAAGCGATTCTCTGATTAACTTTGGCAAAACAACACTATCAGCACAGAACATTCCACAAGAAGAGAGTGGACGGGGTGGAGTTTCATTAAAGTCGTAAAAAGAACAACAAGAATAATAAACCCTGTATTTGCTGCAGCGCCTTTCACATCTAGATCTCAAAGTGTTTCGCTGCATTTTTTTTTGTAAAGTGTAGTGACTGTAATTTGTAGGGAAAAGCAGCAGTCAATTGTGTCGTCTCACACAGAGCCATGGAGTAAATAATCCATTTTATCAGGGAAGGGTGTTGTTGGCCAGGACAACAACTCCACTATTTGAACAAAGATAAGCGTTTCTCTTGGTTTTTGGCCAATTAAGAGATGATTGACACTTTCTAGATAGTCTGAGTGATAAAGCTAATGGAACACAAATATTTTACTGAAGTTAAGATCATGTGGTTTTCTTCGGCTTACGTAAAAGATTATTATCTTTGGTTTCACAACTGACTTTGCCCTGCCCGACTACGAAATGAGGTAGTAATTATTCTAACTACTTTATTTTGCCTCAAGTAATGAGGCGACATAATCAACCATAACATAAGTGCAATGTAAGTCAATGTTAAGGTTGACTCATGAATTCCAAAGCTTCAGAACCCAGACTTTTAGGCAACAAGCCTTCCGTGTGCTAAAGTTCTGTTTCATCTTATGAGGGCCACTTCCACTCGGGTCGAGGTACACACTCTTTCCTTAGTATTTCAGAGTGTCAGGAATTTGGCGTTATCTCAAATACGGTCTCTATTGCAATCGGTTTGTTATTTTAAGAACTTATAAAAGAGCTGCTTCAAAGTTAAGACCGAATTCAACAAATTGCCAAATTCAGGCGCTCTGAAACGTTACTTAAAGAGAGTAAAAATCTGGACCTAAGTGAAATTTCCCCCCACACGTTTTGACACATTCTGTTCACGTGGCTTCTCTAGCGAAGTGAAGTAAGTAGCTGAAAGTCAATGTAATTCTATATAAATGTAATTTTGTTGTTGTTAATGCACAAGAATCAAATTCCCAAGGAGTTTGTATTCGAAAACTCTGTAACTCTGCATGAAATGTGCAGATGAGCAGGAGCCATGCGAGTTGGTACTACTTTATAATTGTGAGTTGCTTTAGGAAACAATAAAAAGCAATAATAGTTCTTTAAAACCTAAAGACGTCAACCCTAGGTAGAATCATAGAATCGTACAGCACAAAAAGAGGCCATTCTGCCCATCGAGTTTGTACCGGCTCTTTGAATAGAGCAATTAATGTCAGTCCCACTCCCCAGTACCTTGCCCCATAACCCTGCAAACCCGTCCTCCTCAAATACCGTCCTCCGCGTTTTTAAAAGTAGTTATGGAATCGGCCTCCACCACCCTTTCAGGCCGAGCTTATGAGAGCTTACATCTTTGCTCTTGGACCCAGTCATTGAAGGTTTCTTCTGTGCCACTGAAAAAGGCCATGTCAATCAGCAAACATTAACAAAAGGTTTGGATGTGGACTGCATGATGTGCTTTGTTCTTAAACCAGATAACACAAGCTAGCAGTGCCCAGAGCCAAAACACGAGAGTCTTTCAAGGTAATAATCAAAGTTATTCAGTTATATTTGAAGCCATAAGACCGGGATTCGATCCCAAGTCAAGTCATTTGTTTGATGAGTGATCATATTTTTCAGATCGTCTTCTTTTCTGAACCCCCAAACGATCATTAGAACTTCTGAGGAATGTCTGTCCTTTGAAGCTATTTATTTTTAGTGTTTTTTTCAGAGGTGTATTCTAGGTGGCTACCGAGACATAACTGGAGTGAGTCGAGAATTGAATAAAATTGTAATTGTACTATTTTGAATGCAGCAGAAGTGTAACTTTAATCCTCAATATATTAAATATAATTTAATTCCGTAATCCGTTTCTACAGACTGCAGAACAGTACGATTAAGGGCTTGGAGGTACAAAGACTATAGACACTTTTTTTTATTTTGGAACACATCACAGTAAAATTTTAATATTTTTTTTTTAAAAAATCGGTTTTGTAAGTATTGATGCCTGCGATAAAGAAGGATTTCATCAGTGCTAATGTAACAGACTGCCTCAACATTACTGAGAAAATTACAGTTACAAAAACCAAACATTCCATTCTCCTGTAAGGAATTAATAATTCATTAAAACCACAGCCTTAGGCAGACAAATACTTGTAGCAATATTACTTACACAACTGAGTCTGACACAAAAATTATCTTTTTGAAATCCTTTTATGTCCACAAGAAACGTTAAACGACAAATGTTTACAGCAGGCTATTTAAGATTTTAAATCAAACCATTCATCTATAGTGCAGCCCCCTCAATAAGTCATTTGAAAGGGATGTGGTAATTAGCTCAAATGACTTTGCGATAGTGCATGTATCCTAACTAAAGACAGAGCAAAGCTATTCAGTTCTTTACAATCTGGAGTGAACAGACAAGCAGGTGCTTCCCCATGATCTGCTCAGCTATATTTTCCCTTGTATGAACTGTAAAATGTTGTCTTGAAAATGACCCAGTGTTTCACTTGGCTTTCAATCCTTTCCTTTTGCTTTAATTGCATTTGATCAATGGGCTTTCGTTTAAAGACTGAACATTTTCTGTTCAAAAAAAAATTCTGAAGTGAGCAAGTTGTGAGATGTACAAAATGAACCAAAGCTTAATCTTTTTTTAAAAAAGTCTTATTGTGCAAGTCCACGTAGAAAAGTCCCATGGTGTTTGTAGGTAAACTGTTTTTTTTTTAGAAGTTATTAATTGACTGACTCTATACCCAGACTCATCCGATCAGGATATTCTGTGCTGTGTTGATATCACACGTTTCACAGTGATTCACCAGAGGTTTGATGCTAATTTGCCTCAAACAGTGCAGTGTAAGTTAGAACTGAACCAAACAGATGTGCACTGGAACATTGCTTTTTCTCACTCTCTCAAGGAGGCAAATTCTCAAGCAATTCGGCTGGTTCCACTGCAGTGCAAATACGCACTGGCGTAAGTTTCAACCTGGCTCTGCCCCTCTCTATTCCCTTGGAAGCTCTCGTTCATTTCAATAAATAGTCCCAAGAACATTTGAGCACTAAGGGGAGCACCTGAACAGAACACCAATACGAGGCGACATGACATGGAACCATACCATGCACTGGAAGGGAAGTGAATTTGTTTCTCGCAGTATAAACGGTGCATTTAAAGTCCCAGTGCAATACACAGAGTGAGACATCTTGACACAGATTGGGTGTGTCGTGTGCAGTTTAAACAATCTGATAATTTAGTGGTGGAAGATTCAGATGGTGGTGAGCAGTCATAGCTATGGTTTGTAAAAAAATACTTCTAAATCTTAGTTTGATCAGATGGTGAGAACACAAAGACTTTGTGAGAGAATCTCTATGAATTTGTTTGGCAGCTTTGAGACTCAGCTTCAGCCAACTACCACTATTGATGTCTATGTTAGCGAATTGTAAGACACCAATGTTTCATTTCTAGGACATCTAATGTTACTTCTGATAGCACCTTTGGTTTTGAAATTGCATTGATAATGCATTCGGTGCTACATTTGCTAAACAGCAGGAAAAAAAAAAGCATTTAATACTATCAATCTAAATCTGTTTTTATATATATATAATATACTTATTTTAGGAAAATCATATTTTTTTTAAAAAGCAGTTTCTTTATAAATAATGTATGTGTCATACTTTTTTTTTGTTTCCCCCCCCCCTCCGTGGGGCAAAGGAATAATTATTTTAATCAAAATAATGTCTTTCTTTCACAAGTGAGGAAATGATGTGCTTTGACATGGAGCTTTTTGTCTTTACTTTGTGTCTGTACAAAGGAAAAGATGTTCCAACACTGTGCAATGGAGAAGGTTCCTATAAAGGTTCTGTTATATTAGAATAAACCTATTTTCTGAATAAGGCATTGTCAGTAGCTGGTTGAATTCCAAACTGGTGCAACTAAAAAGCAGATCCCCGTACAGCATTAAATAATGCCTAAATCAATCAAATGACGGGAATTTTAATGGTGACTTGTGTTTTTTTTTTTTTTGGCGACTGTGTTTGCACGTACAGCCCTAGTAACCTGCCACTCCAGATTGTACCGACTTACATTCTAAATCACTCGAATAAAACTTCCATCGATGGACAGACAATAAAAGGAGATATTTACAAGTCGTGATCCTACATATTATACAGAAGAAGACAGTGTTTCTCTAGTTGTTGTGAATCTTGAAGCTGACTAGAAACAATGATGGCTAATGCTGGACGGATTGCAAGACCCTGAGACAACACAGAAATCCTCAGAAGAACGATCAGAATGACCGGGAGAGGGAGAGGGAGAGTGAGGGTGAGGGGGAGAGGGAGGGAGGGAGGGTGTTCAATAACATTTATTGTCCTCTGTTAAAGTGTTTTCTTTCCTTGCACTTAAACTCACACACAGTCACGTTGTTTGTATTCCACGAGGTCTTCGTGGCTCCAAACAAACAACTCCATCGGATTCTTCTGATTCTTGATTTTGAATTTTTGTCCCAGTGTCTCTTGAACTTTGATCAACCTTATCCTTGTAATTGTTGCACGAGTTCCCTCCCCTCCCCTCCCAGCCCTCTCCCCCATCAGATAAGTTAAATATATTTGACTGGTTATTGGCATTTCTTGTGCTCCCTGTTGCTGCAGCAAAGTATGTCCTCCTGCCCCCACCCCAGCTCATACTGAATCGTTATTCAGGTCCTCGATGGCAACAGAGTCCATTTTTAAAACTGGTGTTTTTTTTTTATTATGGACAAAGTAAAGAAATGTTCTGAGTTACAGCCACTGGGACGAGCAACCAGACTCTCCCTCGTCATCCCTGGAAGATGATTTATTGGTATCTATTCAAATTTCCCAACAGTGCAAACATTCTATCTACATCAGCCCAATTGTTCATCCAGTCTTCAAGGCTAACATTGAAATTTAGCTGATAATCACATAGGTTTTCATCTCGTCTGTACAAAGGTTCAAGTTGTTGCCAGTTGATGCCCTCCAGTGAGATCTGGGCTCCCCAGGTGTCTAGCCTTCCCATCCTTCCCACAGTTGTCCCCTGAAACAAAAATACGAGTAGACTTTTGCAACATAATGCTTCCATTGGCTCATCTATCTAAATAGCCTGTCACCCTTTTTGATGGCTTTCAGGAATAAACTGCACAATTCTTGGGAAAAAAACATTTTCTGTACTTCAAGTGGACTAATAAACCAAAGAACAGCATGATATAGACCCATGCAATTGTGTTCTTGTAGAATCCTGGCTTTAAGATGTCCCAGTCTATTGTTTTAATGTAAATTTAAATATCTGATCAGACTGCAAATTGAAAAAAAAATGTCCCCCCCCTCTGAGCTCCAGCGTATTACTGTTAAACAGTCTGCACACAAGGAACCTGGAGGTTGTGTGATTTGAAGCAAAGAGAACAGAAAGCTGTGGACCCCAGAAAAATAAAGCCAATGCAAAATGCAGCACAGCAATAGGTTTTCCCCAACGCAAGGATGAATCAACCGTAAAGAATAACTATCCCTGTTACAATCCCGTTGCACTTTCGTGCTCTTAATCCTGTCAGTTTTGGTGAATTTATTTCCCCCCCACACAAGCAAACAAATTCACTATTAGAATAAGATTTGAAACAGCTCAAAGTTTTTTTCCCCCAATGGTTATACATAACCAGCAAAGTCAAAAGCAAACAGAAGCCAGAACCAAATAAGAAGCTTTAAACATGTAACACAGAAAAAAAACTGTTAGTGAAGGATAAGAGAAAAAAATTGCATGCAAAATCTAATAGCGGTTCAAAATAAATCCAAATTCACACATCTCTTCATTTACATGCTTATTGTGTTAATTCCAATGATTAAAAAGGCAGGAATCATTTATGTTTGAGTTCCCCACATGGGAATAAAACTATAGCGATTGATTAATTTATTCATTTGAAAAAATATGCAGAGAATTCTTCTGTGCAATGCTACAATTAAGTGGATAAATGAAAGTATTAGCATTGTATGATCATAAAGAGAAACAGTTGTGAATTTCGTGAGTTTTGTGATCTTACTAGTGATGCAGCCTTAACTTTTCCACAGAAATAAAAAAAAATTACTCCCTATTCCCTGACTGAAGCAGAAGTCAACCACCTCATATTGATCCAGGGCATTATGCCACCAGAGTAGAACTTCAATATCTTGTGGTGTTTTTAATATGATAATTTTTTTACAATGAATGCTTTATATTTTAACCCTGAATGCTTTTAAGCCTCACGATAGCTTATTCACACGTCAGGAGCAGGAGAATAACCTTAATAATAAGGTTAATTAGTAGGCATAAAGGTTAATTATAAAGATATGAAATATATTTTGCCATCACATCTTTGTCTGTGTGAAATAGAGCACTCGTTGCAATTCAGATTAAATCCCTGGTAATTTTCTAGAAACCTAATGTTACCCACACGACTAAAAACCTATTTATGATATAATAATAATCCTTGCATTTGATATAGCACATCTTCTTGACGTCTCAAAGCGCTTTACAGAATATGCTGTAAAGTGAATTGACTGTATATTTGTGGGCGAAACGCGGCAGCCATTTGCTCACAGCAGTGACCCACAAACAGTCGTGGATTGAGAATGACCAATTTATTATCGCTTTTTTTGGAGGGATTATTATTAGGCCTGTGGAGTAAGGAAGCTTGCCCAAGGCTTCGCCCTGCCTGGGATTGAACCGCTTGCAAGGCGAGTGCTCTAACCACTGAGCTACAGGACTCCACAAATATTTGGACTATTTGATTGATGAACATAGACGTTGGTAGCAAAGTGAAGAAAGGGGAACCAGATTTAGAGCAAATATTTTAAAATAATTATATCAGCGTCAATAAAATGCTGACCAATAATTTATTATACTGGATTTTATCCACAGTTTTTTTTACCCCCCCAAGTCATGTGTGATCAACTGTTTCTCTGAATAATCTCTTTGAGAACGCATTTGTAGGCAATGAAATCTCTGCAGGTTTTTCCAATGTTGATATAAAGTGGGCAAACAAACCTATCAGGTGAGTGTTAAAGCCAAGCAGTTGCATGCAAGAAAATCATTTATATAATAACAATAATAATAATAATCCTTGCATTTGATATAGTGCCTTATCATGTCTTTGAGACGTCTCAAAGCGCTTCACAGAATATACTGTAAAGTGAATTGATTGTATATTTTGTGGGCGAAACACAGCAGCCAGTCACAGCAGTGCCCCAGTCGTGGATTGAGTGAACAAATTATTATTATTATTTATTTGCTGGTAGCAGAAGATTTTTAAAAAAAGAAGACAAGCCTAATGAAGAGCTCTTCACACAACTCACAGGGACTTGGAGTTTGGTCTCTTCGATTTGGGCCATTTCCGACGCTGATATTGCCTGGTTTTCGAGCAGCAAACACAAAAAAAGCTTAGCATCTCAAAGCAGAAACTCATAACGGGAGCATTCATTGAATTGGTGATGCACATACCCCTCCTGGTAGCACTATGGACTTGATCTAAGACATCAGCTCTTACCAAAGATCTTGATAACGAGTAACAATAAACTACTTAAACATGGCCTGCCTATACACTGACTGATGCTCTTTCTTACCTTGTCAGTGATGAAGCTCCCTCATTAAAACACAGCACCAAGTATATGTAACACGTATCATGAAGATGTAGCGAATTATGTTTCTTTGGCGATTTTTGTGCATTAACAGCAGTCTGCCAATGCCTCAAATTTAACATCTGACTGCATCAAATCCATCAATACCCGTTGAGAGGAAAATTGGATTTAATGAGGGTTAATGGGAACAGGGCAATTCGGGATAAATATGTCTCGGTCGGTGTAATTCATTTAAGTGCTATCTTGGCACTGGATTAAACCGTATGACCATAGTGTGGGCATTTAATGTGTGACAATCAGAAGTCGCTTTCGTCCAACACAGTCAGATACAAAAGCTTGTACGTTGATGAATTCTTTTCATCTGCCTCTTGATCTGTTTGGGGAAGCTTCCCTCGATTGATCTCTACTACTCTCTGCCTATTTCCATTTCTCACGTGGCATAAGTGTGCAGAATAATAAAGCAGGGGCATGTCCGAGGCATTGTCTATCCCCTCATTCGTAGTAACGAAGTAATGTATGCATGTAGTATGTCAGTCGTGTCACGTGCATTTGTATAAAGAATTTGAGACCATGTGAACACTGCAGATTGCTTTTAGTTGCCTCAAAGCGTTGTGACCTCCATCTGAACTTAAGAGTGAAAGGATTTTAAGCTGCAAAACAAAAGATTTGGCGTAAACTATGTACATTTAACACCATTGTAAACCAATACTAATCTACCCAATATGGATGATAATGTATCTTCCAGGCTGATAATGTATCTTCCAGGCCGATGTAATAGAGGCCAATGTTCCTTTTGATTAATAAGTAGCACAAATAAGACTCGGTGAAAAATACATTTCTAAAAAAAGAGAGAGAAAAATAAAGGATAATATAAAGCAAAGGTACCTGTATTGATCAAAGTTTTCCTCAGCTTTCTCTTCTAAACAGGAAAAACATTAAGACCTAATTAACGGCGATCACCAATTTTACTTGAACTTAACAAACGCGAGTTTAACAAAACAGAAAGCTGGTAACTACAATTAAATGGGCAAAAAGATTTCTTTGAACCGTGACAACCAAATATTTCTATTTAACAAACAATGAGTCTTCCGAAGACATACGGTGATTTTCAAATTAAACGGTTTAATGTGGACTTATATATATATTGTAGATATACAATAGCAGAAATGCTGCTATTCTGGGAGGACTGAGCAGTCAGTGTAGTGTGTACCTGCGTCCATGTTCCTGGTGCGTGGGTTGCACTGTTTCGAGCCAATGCAGCTTCGTAACTCCATAAGTTGTACATGTAACTGGTTCAGAACATCTCGATCTAATGTGTTCACCACATTAATAAGCTAAATATAGAAGAATACCAAGTCAGATTAGAACAACAACAAGCTTGATGTCAGATAAGCAGATAGTCAGTGAAATTCCAGCAGTATCCCACGCATGCTCTGGGGGTCCCTTAAGCCTCGACTCCCAGCAGCCTGCGCTAAATACTTTCTGGAATAGGTAAGAGGTACTCCTGTACTCCCTTCCAGTCAAATGGTAAATTTCTACGCATAGCTGCGAATACATATGGGGAACTGTAAGTCAGGTGTGGCTATGCCTTAACTATAATATGTCAAACCACCCAGTTGATCAAAACAAAACAATCCTATCATTCATGAGAAGGATACAAGTCAATACGTGACGAGAAGTAACACTTGAGCTAATTTCATTTATTCTGAAAGCTTGGGCAGACAGAATTCTTATCCCTTGGAGAAACTCAATGATTAATCTTATGCCAGTGTGGTCAATGATGTCTATATGTACTCTTACCTGGTAAGGATCCGTGTTCATATCAAAATACTCCAGAAAACCTGTTGCAAATTCACAGAATAGGAAGTTGTGGGTTTCATTGAGGGTCCTTAAGCACCAATATGTGTTGTTATTTGCACTGGTGCAAGCACAGAAGGGGCCCACTAAAAGAGGACGTAAGTTAACAGAGAAAATAGCAGAGATGAGTAGAGAAGGGACATGAATTTAGCAATAAAAAAACAAATCACATTTCAAACAAAAGGATCAGTTTCAAAAAGATTGTATACTGACGTCAGCATGCATTGGAATTTGTAGAGATCGGATTTAAACATATATATGATATGTAAAACTTGTAAAGGCAGTTTCAACCAATTCTGTAACTAAACGCCATTACACAAAGTACAACTTCAATCGATGACAAACATTTCCTTCCAGCAATTGCCAAAGATGTAATTAACACATGCATTTGATGCAATTGCGAACACTAGCAGCATTTGACTATGCCAACACAGAACAAACATTTAACGATTTATCTAGTACTGCAATAGAACTAATAACATCAACAGTACAACAACAACAACCTGCATTTTTTATAGCGCCCTTCACGCAGGGTAGCATCCCGGAGCGCTTTACAGTGACGGAGTCTGACGACAAGCCGGGGGAGAGAGAGGTGGGAGGTGACATTAGCACAATCAAAAAGGAAGGTCTTTAGGCAGGATTTGAAGGTGGGGAGGGAGGGGGCAAGGCGGAGGGATTGATTTCCAGAGAACCCGTGTACCACTCATTAAACTACAACAAGGTTTTATGTAGCCTTGTTTCGAGGAGTTTCATGTTGTCTGTTGTCTTACATTGCCAATGTGGGGGGGTCTGCCAATGTTGGTTATCATGTGTGAAGCAGGTGAGACCAGGCATGCTGCAGGTGTCATTATTTCTCAGCCTCTTCAGCATCTTCCGCAGTTTCTTCTTCTTGCGCTCTTCCTTAAAGGTCCAGAGATTGTTGTTCTTATCCTGGCCTCCTTTCCTGAAGGTGAGTAGAGAGGGTGACTTATTATAAGATGGGTGGACAACTTGCTCCATAGTGTCTTTGATTAAAGGGCTATTAGGATTTGCCAAACTTTTCTTGAAAATATTTCTCTGACAATATTTACAGATGGGCTTGAAAATCTGTAGATGTTTCTTTGGAGGAAAAAATTATATTTGCCGCATTACAAGTTAAGGATAGTCGGAAAAATTCTTGGCCTTTCTGAAGTTTAACTTGAAAGCAACTCATTGCGAGCACATGGCAATAGATTACAATGACCTGCTAACAACAACATAATTTCTCCCACAAAAACACAGTCAATTGACTTTACAGTATACTCTGTGAAGTGTCTCAAAGACGTGATAAAGCGCTATAGCAAATGCTAGGATTATTGTTATTAAAGAACTAGTTGAAGATTGAATTTTTTTAAAATAATGCTTCCCCATTCACTAGCATTTAAAATGTGCTTGGCTTTTTAATAGGAATTCTGATTGTGAAATTTCACCGTGAAATGACATCATGTGTGTGGACTGCTTGTTTGGGATAGAGAGAGGCTATGAGCTTAGTCAGTTAGAGCTCCAAATTGTTTGAGCCAATTTCCTGAGGCAGGGGAACTATTCAGAACAGGATCGAGTAAGAACAGTCTCATGCAAAGAAACATAAACAGCCAAGCCATTAATGGCCCAAAAGGGTGTAATGAAAGCTGCGGTTTTCCAACCATGCAATCCAGAATATTTCATCAGAAGTTTAGAAGAATTAACTCAAATGTGGAGTTGCTCCAACAGACTGGTTTATAGCATCAGGGACTTGGAACCCCATAGCTAGTTTATTCCTTTGTAACTGAGTTAATAAGGAACTTACTTGAAGGGATGACGATTAGCTCCTTTGTGCTTGAGCTTTCCTTTCATTCCCTTATGTTTAGAGGTAAAACTACAGAATACAAACAGGATAAAACAAAACAGAAGGAAGGAGGGAATTAATATTGAGTGGAAGTGGTATTTCAAGATTCAAATGATGTAAAATGTAAATTACTGACAATTCATTCCATCTATTCAACTTGTCTAATTGAATAAAATAATACATGAATAATTGCACAAGGTAATGACCACATTATGTTAGTGGAGTGCTGAGAGAAGATTGTTGCGGTGATACAATGAAGGGAGTTGTAATTCCTGAACGAACCTCAATTTGGAACAGTCACACTCTTCGGGCCTTTTTTTCTTCAAGTGTCCTCTAACCTCACGTAAATTCTTTATTTTGGTTTGGAGGGTTTCAATCTAAGGACAGAGGTCAAGAGATGATTACCTGCTTACAGGAATTCATTCATCAGAAATCAATTCACCAGAATGTACATCTCTCAGTCTAAATGGTTTATTCTACATGTCAAATATCCCAATAGGAATATTCAGTCGATAGCTATGATTCTAGGCAAGCAAAATTGTCGAATTGAATGGAAATATGTAGGTTAATTTCAACCAATGCTTGAAATGAAACTAAATTCACTTTTACTAAAGTATCTTAAACTATTTAATAAGTTCGACCGAAATAATTTCCACTCATTCGGTGAATCTCCCTGTGAAATAGGTTCGGTTAATGATCAGTTCTATGGTTCAACTGACCTCATGATCAATGTGCAGTTTGTGATCCTTCCACGCTTGGAGCGATTTGTACAGATCGCCATCACAATGAACTGTGTCATTGGCCAATATATAGCATCTGGAATAACAAAAGGAAACTGTGTGTAATCTCCATTCAACAGTATTGCTGAAATCAACAGTATTACTTCATTCACCAGTGCTGCTCGCTTCAGATAATGATGATGAGTTTAAACGAAAGATCTAATCCAAAGGAAGACAGAAAATCCATTTCACTAACTACAGTATTATTAAACCCAATTTTAAAATTGCAACTTGCAAGAAAATAACTGTGCGATGCACTGGGCTATAGCCACATTCTTTGGCACTAGGTGTGAATCAAGCCAAGATTGATGGGATCAATGTCTTATCTTTACTGGTTCAAATTCCACATCATCACAGGCTCACAGATCCAAAACTGGAATAATAATAATAGAATGATACAGATCTAATTAACTCCAAAGAGGCAGACAGCCTCTTAGAGAGCTTAGACAGCTACATTGAAGGCATCTATTCTGCCAATTTAGCTGATCTCTAAATGTTGCTGATCTTAAAATTCAAAAGGTTTTCCAATCCAGGAACTAAAACTAACGAAAACGAACTAAAACGGCTTATTGCGTAACCGTTTTTTAAAATCTATTTCCAGATACCCTGTAACACGATGTAACTCCAGAATTCCCAAATGCTTGACAAATCTCAGAATTCATTTGATACTCCACAACATGATGGTGCACTTAAATGTGCTTGATGTTGCTGACAATACCACTCATATAGACCAGGAAGAAATTCATATACATGTTAAATGCATCACAATTAAAATTTTATGAGAATGTTGCCACAAATTTATACAACAGCTAAAATTTTCGGGAAGAACTCGCCTTCTGCTCCATATTATGGCCAATTGTCTCTTTTTTTAATTCACGTAAACCACTGAATTAAAATCCACAAGGGATTCCTGGCACCATTTGGTGGGTTTCAGAGGTGCTGAATGATTTATGATACAAATCCGAGTAGACGTGGATAAGAAAAAGCTTTGTTGAAAAATTGGAAACTCAGCTCCTTTTAAAATAAAAAAATAAAAAAAATAATTATAATAATATGGTAACTTACTTATGTGTGACTTTAATCGAACTGGGTATGATTAATTCATTATTATTGTCAGTGCCACTGCTTTCACCCATGTTCTCTTCATCCTCGTCAGCGACATAATGCCTTTTACTGACGTTCTTTGGCACAACTGGATCAAATCCCTCATCCAAATCCAGGTCATAAACCTCTCCCTCCAGTTCAATGGACACTGAACGTACAGACCTGTTGCGCATGTAGTTCTGCTTCAATTCTGAAGTGAAAACAAGTTAGAGAAATAATAATTTTTTGCAATGATTAAGAGGCGCTGTTTTACACCTGCTGCAATCGATGTACGAAAAACTGACCTGGAGAACTTGCATCCCATACTCCACGCTTTAAACAAGATGGGCTTCTAAGGCACTGTGATGTGGCAGAATGTTTTTACATCTTGAATAAACACGAGTGGTGCTGTGTACAAAGCAGTGTCGGTTGATGTTAATGCTATATACTTTGGCAGTTAGACTGCAGAAAGCATGGGGGGATGTTAATGGATAGCAGTACCATTGCCAGTGTTGTAAAATAAAACCGTCACTAGAAGGCAGCAAATAGCCAGATGTGGAAGATTGTAGCTGGTCAGGATTTAAGCCTTTCGAGGAACAATGGAGTTGTTCACATAGTTTACTCCATCTGATATATTAGAAATGTCATGATCATTGCTATATGCAGTGTACATCAACACTCTGCTTTCTCATGCTTGGAGAATCCAATAGAGATTTATTTTGCAGGCCAAATCAACAAGTTATTTTACCAATGATGTTCTTCAGGACTACCTCCCCGTTGCATTATTTAGAACGATCTACCTGGTTTAGTTTTGGGGCAAAATGTTGCGGAAGAAAATGTCTCCCAAAAATGTAATGAGTTAGAAACTAGCAAATCCCTTTCTCCAATTCCCTATGCTCTTTGACCGAGCCTTCAGCTCCCCTCTCGACTCTCTTCCCCCTCCTCGCTCCCTCCCTTCCCTCACCCTGACCATTTCCCCCCTCCTCGCTCCCTTCCTTCCCTCCCCTCACCCTGACCATTTCCCCCCTGCTCAGGTCATGACCCAACTGTGCAGCGCCTTGGGACGTCCTCCTGACGTGAAAGGCGCTTTATAAATGGAATCTTGTTGTTGTTGTTGTTGTTGAATGTTTACTCTTTCCCTGCAGTTGGAAAACAAACTTGATTCGATTCTAAGAAGCTTTTTGATTGGTATTGACATTGATCTCAAGACCCTCCTCTTCGACCGCGCCTTTAACCATCCTCCTACCCTCCCAGACTTCCACCCTCCCTGATCACAACCACCAGCTCAGATCCAAATCCCTGACCGTCCAGGGCCTTGGGAAGTCCTCCTGACGTGAAAGGCGCCATGTAAATGTAATCTTGTATTGTATTCCAGTGCAATGACACATAAAATACAGAATGCATATGGTGGTATTGTACAGAAAATAAATGCATCGCTGTACTCACTTCTCTTGGAAAATAGTTTCTGTTTCTGCCGCACTCTTTGGCTTATTTTGTAACGATTTTCCTCGCATTTGCAGTCTTCTCCATCGCTGCTGTAGGATTTGGGCTGAAGGCTGCTGGTGTCATCTTTGCTGGAAACTGATGATGCCAGGGCCACCCCTTTGCACTTGTGTAGCCGAAGCTTTCCTGTCGGGTCCTCCACGCACTGCCATTTCTGAGAAATGTACCACTCGGTTACCATTGTGGAAACTTGGACAACCACAAAACACATCGCTTGTTAAACAAGACTGAGCTCCACACTTCACCTCCTCCCCATAACCGAATAGCAACAACAACAACTTTTAGTCAATTGGCGGATTGCTTTCCGGAGTGTAATAATCCCTTCAAAAAATAATAATAATTTGGTCACTCACTCCACAAGTATTTGTGGGACACTGCTGTGTGCAATTGGCTGCCACATTTCACCCACAAAATACACAGTGACTCCACTTTACAGTCTATTCTGTGAAGCGCTTTGAGACGTCTTGAAGGTGTGATAGGATGCTACATCAAATGCAAGGATTATTAAGCAAATGTTACCTCATTTGCCCGCTGGCTACTTGGAAAGGGAGAGGGATGGTGGGGCTGGGGAGCGGGCAAATGAAGTAACATTTTTTTGCTTCAAAATATAAAACTTTTCTTTCAATCGTTTATCAAATTCAGTTTGTCAAAAAAGTTGCCAAAGGAAGCAAGGTTTAGCTGAAGATTTGCAGTGTGAAATTAATTAATCCTAGGACACATTCTGGATACCCAGGACAACAATCTCCCAGATAAAATTGGTTATTTACTCCATGGTTCTTTGTAATAATAATCCTTACATTTGATGCAGTGCTTTTCACGTCAGGAGTAAGTCCTTAAGCACTTCACAGGATATATTGTGTACATATAGTGCGATGTAGTCAGTGACTATGTATTTTGTAGGGAAAGATGGGACAAATGCTTGTGGGACATTACTTTGTGCAAATTGGCTGCTGAATTTGCCTTCAAATATGCAGTACAACAAATCATGTGAAGGTCTTTGTGACGTGAAAGGCACCATTTCAAATGTAAGGATTATTCTTATTGTTAATCAACCTTGGACCTAATCTAAAGTAGTCTCCACTAAAGAAAAACAAAAGAAGCAATTTTTTTCTGGAGAAAACAATACAATATTGAAACATACATTGGATCTTGACATTAATTTCTGTTAGCATTTAGCCACAGCAAGCATTTTTGGTACAAAGCCACTTACAACATGGTACAATTGCCAGTTGCAACCCTGATTAACTGTCTCAAAGGGTTCACCAGAATAGGCACTGTTTGTTTTAGCTGAACGGGAATGTAGTTCTGTTTGATAGTTTAAAAACTGGAGACAAACAAATTCGATGACTTCTGTTGTAAACTTGAAGCTGTTGCTGCTGTTATTTTTTAAACAGGATAATGTAACTTGGTCTAGGAGGAATAACAGGAAATAGCAAGGTCATCTCAAGTTAAAAGAAAGGAAATTGCATTTGGTTGAGAGTGCGTTCGGTAAAGATTCAGTTGTAGACTTTTGTTTTGTAGTTTGTAAAATGTTTTAACCTCTTGACTGTTTTGTGAATCGGTTTGTTCCGTAAGGAAATGTCATGGTGAGCTAATGGGAATGAAAACCTTCTTCAGTCTTGATGTGAAAGGCACAACATCAAATGCAAGGATTATTATTATTGTATGTTCACAAGTCAAAGTATCACAGGCAGAATGGTTAGATTCAAATCATGTAGAATATCACCACTGAAGTATAAATATAGATACATATTATGTCTCATATAATCGGGCATGAAGTGGACTGGACTCACTAAATTGCAATGACCTGCATTTACTGAAACATTTCTGCACCTTTAAGCTCCAAGCATTAAAATGAGTTCATGAAAATGAGGAACCCTGAAGTGCCAACATTAACACATCACACTGTATGTGGCATAGTTTGCATAATAATGTACATTATGGGCCCAGAATGATGCTTTGGAGGAACAATGTTTTAACACTTAACTAAATGAAAAAGGTATTATGCACTTCTTATGGGATTTTAAACTTTAATCTAACAATATCAGTGACGCTTTGTTCAATTCTATGTTACGAACTTTGAACAGGGATAGGTTTTGACCATCTATGATATCAGCCATGATTATAGGATTGTATACACCACCCTGCACATAATGAGAATAAAAAGTCTTTTCGGTTTCGATTGTAATGAACTTGAATATACTTCAGAATTATTATTTTTAACCTATTGCTAATTTGTTAGAATAATAGAGATGATTTTCTTATATAAACTTCTTGTGTTTGTCATTTTGGGGGGAAGAGCAATTGGCATACAATGGAAGACATCAGTAAATCATGTGGAATTGAACCCGTGTCTATTTTGGGTACGCAACAAATGATTTCAAGGTGGAGTGAACAATGTGAAAACATCCGGCAAATCTGCGCCAACATCAACATTAACCCCAATCTTAATTTCAGCAGAGAACGCTGCAGTAAACCAGTGCATGTGTTTACATTTTCTACATTAGCTGTTGCTTTGGTATTCTGAGGACAACTAACAATTTAGTATCAATGTGCAGAGAGCTCTGTTTTGTTCAATCATGCCTATTACACCCACAAAATACAGTCAATTCACTTTACAGTATATCGTGTGAAGTAATAGTAATCCTTGTATTTGATATAGCGCCTTGTCACGTCTTTGAGACGTCTGGAAGACACGATAAGGCGCTATATCAAATGCAAGGATTATTACTATTATTATTATTACTGGAGTTGACATGACCGAAATGCCTCCACGTCGCATTTTGAAAGAGCGGAGCATTTCATCCATTAGCCTGAGCTAGATTCTAACCCAGTTCCCAAAGCTGAAAGCGTGTGTTAACCTACTTCCCTGCCTAATCTCCCAGGTTGTGTCACGGTTAGGGCACTTGCTGCAGCTGCTCTTGGGGCTTGTATCTTTCGTCGAGCTCATTTTCCTTGATGCACAAAGGAATGTGATGTGCACGAAGGTTTAGAGAAATATATTCTGTGGTTTTACACTAGGGTTTACGTTAAGCTCCACGCATCAATAATATTTGCAAAAAAAGGGGACATTTACACAGGATTGAATTCACTTCTATTACAATAGATTAGGGTTACATAACTTTGCTGCACACACTACAACACTGGCAAGCCCGAATAGTTGGAATTTCCTTCATATCTTCGATTTGAAATAATACAAAAGATGTAATTTGTGCTAAGTGCACCACAAAGGCGATTATTTGTATGTTTTTTCTGATTAAAGCACTGTTCACTCATCATTTCATAGACACAATGAAGGTGCTGTTTGCATAACATGTTCACACTTACATAAACACAACAGACAAGAATCGACACTGCTTGTGATATCTTTGTATATAAACAGAGCTTGCTTAGGAGATTTCCAAATCTCTCAGTCTGTAAATGTAATGTTGTGTAGTTTCTGCATTTGATGGAACATCTTGAAACATTTCAAACATATCAGCTGGCTGCTGAAATTTCGCTCCTTATCATTGCCCACAAAATACACAGTCAATTCACTTTACAGTATGTGCTGTGAAGCTCTTTAAGATTTCTCGAAGATGTGATAAGGCGCTATATCAAATGCAAGGATTATTATTATTATTGGTGCAGGATCCTATCACATCCGATTACTGCACAAAAATGTACTACAATTCCTTCTGGCTTGAAGGAGCTAGGTGTTGGAGGTCTATATATTGTTTCATAGTGATGACATTCACTTACCTGGCCAATTTGTTCACAAGGTGTCTTGTATTCTGCCCTCTGGCAAAGATCCTTCACTCTTTCATACTTTGGCAGAAAGTTTTCCTCCTGAGAATTGTTACTGTCTTCCCTCTTATGTAAGAGTTTGCTAACAAAAGAAACATATTTTTAGAATTGTTGATCATAATGGAACAGTTACAAGGTATGTAATAACTCGGAAAAACTATTACACAATGACATACCCTCTTTCCACAAGGAAGGAATCTCGCCAAACTTTTGTTTTCTTGTTTAAGTTGAACCTGAAAATATTGTAATTGTGACATTAATAAATCAATGATTTAAAAAAAAATCTTTCCAACTGTTGCTGTAATTCAGCTGTTTAACTTTGTTTTTTTAGATTAAGTATAATATGAATGACTCTGAACAAATGGAGGACTGGAAAGGAATCTGCCTGATGAAGACTGGATTATTACTAAGTGTGTTTTTGTTACACAGCAACCTGATATTATCCAGTTCGATAAAGAGTCTTCCACACATTTGGTTAAACTTGATACACTGCTAATTTAGTTTATTGGAGTCATATTACAATATCTATAAATCAGATTCCTTGCATTGTTGCAAATTTCTGGATTGTGATTTTCCCGTTGACGAAACTCACAGCCCTCGAATCGTAAACCTCAAGTTGGCAAAGTCCAAAACAAAAAGATTTGTAAGCAAAACATCCAACTGGCCAGCCTTTAGCATTCGATCTTTGGTGACGATTGGAAGGATAGCAATTTCACAAGCCGGCATTTGCAATTAAAACAACACATCCTGTTTATGAATAATGCAAATGAAATGCCATTGATTTAGATTGAATATCGAAGGCAAAGAGTCAGCAGAAAGGGAAATACAGTATATCTTTAGTCAGTAAATCAGTCTATCAAGAAGCTTGTCTTGTGAAGCTGCTGTGTTTTATCTCTTGATCTCCTGGACTCTGTTACAAAATTCTTACCTGTTAACGGGTTTTTCGGTTTCTAGGAGTTTAAGGATAGACTTGCCATCCATTTCAGGTGGAATGTCGAGGCCAGCGATATCTAATATTGTTGGAGCAAGGTCAATGTTCAGTACAACTTGTGGGATTCTGTGGAGAAAGAAAAAGAAAGAAAGAAAGAAAGAAAGAAAGAAAGAAAGAAAGAAAGAAAGAAAGAAAGGGAAAGGTTGAATGAATGACTGGTTTAGGATTGTCTCTGATCTGCATAAGAGACTTGGAGATAATACTATTCTGTCATATGCAATCACAAGATCAGCTTAACCGTTCCGCCCATTACCACAAGTATAGACAACATAAAATATTTGGCAAATACCTCAGCATGAAAACTTATATGTGACAGACACAAGTGGGATTCTCACTTTCTCTGTATTATCAATGAATGTCACATCACATGTTGAGGTACCGCTTCGTATATTCAATAACTACTGCTATTTACTCTGGGGATAGTTATCTAATGTCAAAATCTATGCCCAATTCTTTTGCTGATCTTATCTTGAAAATCTTTAATAAAAACATGTTTATGCTGCCGTTCAAAATGATTACCCAGCAAATCTGCAAAACTATCAGTATCTCTAAAGTTCTTAAAATGATTTAACGTGTTTGTTTTTTCTGCTTCTTTCCTGAAGGCACAGAGTTCTTGTTGAGCAATTAAACAGCTATCTTCGTGTTTCAGCCCAATCACTGACTCCCGTCCATGCTCAGCTACCGGTTCCCAATGTTGTGCCATCTCCAGTTCAGGATGTCATTAATGATCAATCAGTTGTCCCCGTAGATGATGAGATTTTCCCATGGCAAGCGATGTTGCATTAAACACCTACAACACCCATGTGATCCATCAAACTGCATTTGCGATATATCAATATTTAGAATGTTATAGCACAGAAACAGGCCTCTCAGCCCAACTAATCGGTGACATTGTTTATATTCCACATGACCCTCCACCCTCCCTAACCTCCTCCCCTAGCCCCCTCTATTTTCTTCCCCCTCACGCTTGTATCAAATTTCCTCCTAAATATGTTGATGCTTTTCCGTTCATCCACAGCTTCCAGCGTTGAGTTCCGTGTCCTCGCCACCTTCTGCGTAAGGATGTTGCTTTGAAATTCACTGTCACCTCTTCCACTGGTTATCTTATATTTATGTCATTTCAGACTCATCCACCAAGTGAAAACAGCCCATTAACTTCCACTTTATGAAATCCTCTCATAATTCTAAACACCACTATCAGGTCCCCCTCTCAATTGTCTCATCTCTAGAGAGAGGAGAAAGCTACAACCTCTCCAACCTTTCTTGATAGCTATACTGTATCCACTCACATCCCAATACTTGTAATCCACTCTCCCTGATCTAAAGTATGACGGCCCAATAAAACTCTTTAAAGCTGAAGGTCACAAGTAAATTCAATTGAATGAATTAAAAACTGAAACTGTATCTGGTTAATAAGGTAAGTGGAAAAGAATTTGAAGCAGTGTTACAGTCTCTTTAGTTCAAATAGCAAGTCTGAACCATTTGAGCTTTGCTCTTGTGTTTTAGAAGATAATTTAAGTCCTTTGATCGAATTATTGTCATCAACTCTCTCGATCTGGATGCAATCTTCATACGGTGAAGCCTTTCAAAGATATTAATAAAGACACGTATTTTTCTGCAAGCAATTTGAGGCCATTAGTACCTGCGAATAAGTTACTTTTGATGGTGTTCCTCTGGGAATATGAAGTACTCTACGGCACCGACGTGAAACAAATATCCAGTGTAAGTTTCAGTCAAAATGCTACATGTTACGCATTCTGCTGTGGTTTACACTCATGGAAAAGCTAGGTCATTTATCTTAAAGAGGGAAGTTCATCATTATAATCAACTTGCTTTTTTTCTAACTCCAGTATTCGTTGAATATTTTTCTGGGTGCTGCTGACATCACAGAAACTCGTTGGGACAGCAACCGAGGGAGCTGAATTAACATTGAATTAACATAGAATGATACAGCCCGGAAACTGGCCCTTCGATCACACTAGTTTGTGATAATCAGTGATACCAGGCACTTTAAGCCTGTGCTAATTTACTCCCTCATGCAGTCAGGGACAATAACTGTCCATATCTAACTCCATCGATTATGCAATCAGTTTTATATATAAAAAATAAAAATCTCAAGCTATGTTTAAGACTAAAACATTTTAGACAAAGCCCTCTCTATAACAAGTGACGCTGTTCAACATCCATCTGACTTCAACCAGGTTAACCTATTAAATCAACAGCCTTGTGTGAGGCTACGCCTGTTACCCTGAATCAGCCTTAACAAGAGCGGTGGTTGAGATGAAGAAGGGTCTTCAGGCCATTTGATTTCACCCTTCCCAAATATCAACTTAATTGTCTTCCCGTCACAACATCAAGCTGTTTGTTAAATTAGTCCAGTGTCCTGACCTTTGCCACTATCGGTTGTTGGTTAACTTCTGTTGCATATAAAATATATACTTTCCGGTGCATGTCCGAAATGTGCCTTTCACACTCCTCAACAGTATGCCCTTTCAACTTGTTGCGTTTGTGAATCTGAAAGGACTGGACTGTTCCTGGTTTATTTTCTGTAACTCATTGTGGCTTTACATCTCCCCTGAGAAGTCTCTTTTCAAGGCTGAAGGGTTTATCAACTCATCTGCAGTCGCATTAGCCATTGCAATCTGTGCTCACACTTTCCAAGTCAGAAAAGTTAGCACCCGTGTAGGTCGTCAGCAAATTGCAGGTGGCAGAAAATCATTTCAGGTTCGTGCAATCATATTAAATTAGAGTCCCAGCATCGGTTGAGGCACTTGGAGCGCAACCTAATTTGTGTCGTTAGCACGGCATTTCACTTCAGTGAAAGGATAAAAAGGCATCGTGGAAATGAATGGGATATTAACTGATGTGAGAGGTTTCAATCGGCATTTACAGACGAGAAACTTTAATCGGCAAAAAGGCAATTTCATTAAGGGGCATCCGTGTTCTCATGGGAATTTAGGAAGTGAGCAAAGTTCTATTCTAGAGATTGTTTTGGAGCCTCCAACAATAGCCATCAGATAGTCTTGGTATTACCCACGTAATGAAGCAAATAATCATGTGGAGGATGTTCTCATTTCTGTTTAGATTTTCTAAATGTATTTGAGTGTTAGCAATGTTCTTTCCATTTTCTTTTGAATCCAATGAAGTGGAAGTCATTTAGTGGTGGGAGGGAGGGAGAGGAATTTAGTTGTAAAATGTAAAGCTCATAATTAGAGTGAATCCCTGTTTAGGAAAATTCAGTTAATGAGACAGCTTGTAACCAAGTTACAACTTAAAAGTTTTTAAAAATACTTACCTTACATTAACATTTAAGCCACTAAAGATATTGGGTTGAAACATGTGTCGTCACAGTGATAATTACCACATCGCATATTAAAAAAGCACATCAACAGAATTAACATTAATAGAAAACATTTAGGGTATAAACTGGCTTCTAAAGTTACACAAACCACTTGCGGTCAAAATTGAAAGTTCGCAGAGTGATCCCATTAAGCAGTTTCTATTATAAGGCTGATAAATCATGCTTGCTAGCCTTCCTCCAGCTCGTGGAAAAGTAATAATTTAATAATGTCTTACATTGATCCAGACTCCACATTTGGACCACGTATGAAAAATGGCACGCGGATGTCAAACTCATAAGGCATCGATTTCCCTTTAACGAGCCCAAATTGTCCAATGTGGTACCCGTGATCTGCAGTGTAGATTATATACGTATTTTCCACTTCGCCAGTTTCCACCAGCATGTCATAGACCTGAAAAATAGATTGGCAAAAACTTATTTAATGAAAAGCAAATTGCAGTCATGCCTCTTCCACAGGATCTGTTCATATGTATTTAGCAGTTGATAAGTTTGTCATTTTGATAACTCTTCAAGCTGTAACACTGTTCCTGGTTAAAGTGATGGGTAGAAGGAGAAACCCTCGACCTCCACATGCAGATGAAGAGCTATAAGTTGTGCTCTTGCACATGTTGTAGTGCCAAGCTGTTTTTTTCTCTTTCTCACGTGCCTGAATCACACCCTTTAATTCTCCTATATGTATACATCACCTACAGCCATTGCTCTGCACTCTAGATTGTTAGAAGCTGAGTAATTAAACGGTCATAAAACATGTATGACCTATTTTAGTAATCTGTGGAAAGTGAATTTGAGCTTTGAATCCTTTCAAATAGTCTAGCATGTTTAAGGTAGTTTTACTCCTACCTTTTGTATTGAGTCGTCCACGGACATTAAAGTCTGCAGCCGCTTCCTCTGCAGCATGTTGGTAAACTCCATGTGAATGGGTTTCATTGGTCCCGTGTACCTCATAATCCAGTGCTTGTCTGGGTTGGGTGCATAATTATAGCTGGGGGTGCTGCAGTCGTAATTAACATCAGGATAAAAATAGTTAGTAAAGAACAGCGTCAAACTTAATCATCAAGCCCCTTTACCCAAAGGCTCAAATAGAGAGAGCAGCTATCACCGTATCTGCTGATAATCTGATAAAAATACATTTGCGAAACTATTCAGTATTTTACGAGGAGATGTTGACAAACGATAACAGTCACATGGAGGAATACTGGAACGACCATTTGACAGTTTGCTGAAAACTAATCCTCATTATTGACGCATAATAATACAAGATTGATACAAGTCTTTTAGGATATCAACGGTTATTAAGAGACTCATTTTACAACAAATGAAGTAAGTACAATACAAGGCAAATACAACACAATTTACATTTATGTCAGGGGGGAAATCTTAAAGCACCATTAACCAGCTGGAAATGGAAGCCGAAAAGCGTGGGGAGGGGAAAGATTATCAAAAGTGCAGTCAAAGAGGTAAATCTTAAGGCAGGCTCGATATAAAATAATTCTGTATATTATTAAATAGATACAGATGTAAAATCAGACTAAAATAAAATTATTCACTGTATTGTTTTTTTGCACTGTGTTGTGTTTGTTGCCACAAAGAAGCTAAAGGCTCATGACTGGCAATGCCATAAAAAGGATTTTTTACTATAAAATTAGATAAAACAATCGATCATAAGCTCCAAGCTGAATCTAGCATAAGGGAATCTCATCTCAGTAGCAGATCTTACAACTGATCCAGATTTTAGATGCATGTAGATACCTGTCAATATATATGCTAGCAGCTAGGCTTACAACCTCAAATCATTTTTCTCTCTCTTACCACCTACCATTTTATCCTTCTTCCCTGCTGATTTCATGCAGTAATCTGTACTTGAGCAAATACATATAAAATACAAACACGAGTATAGTATTCGTGAAGTAGTCTAATGGAATAAACTGAATACCTCCATTAAATTAAATCCTTTGAATGGTAATATTTAATTATAGCACCTAACTCCAGATAAAATGTCTTGAATTAGCCAACACATTTAAAAACAATCTCCCCTGCATTCAATTCCACTTCCATATCTTGCTGGTCTGAATGATCGGCTGAGTGAACACAGCCGTGGTATCAAACTAGCCTTAGCCCTCCCTGTGACCGATTTTACCAGTAACCTTGAATGATCTCTCTGCATCCTAATGCATGTATGTCATGACCTAAAGAATATAATCTCTCATTCCTTCTTACACACATGGTTTCCAGGGCACACAGATGCAGGTATAATGTAATTAAGTCAGCTCTGACCTTTTTTTTCACAACTGGCTGGAGTTTTAGCAGACTGGTGAGTGAAAATTGCAATTTTTTTTCAAACGGATTTGATGTGTTAATCAATGCATTGACTCTGCCAAGAAACATCAGAATTTTCAGCCCTATAATTACCACAACAACAACTTGCAGCAATTAAACCACTCCAATTGCTTTCACTTTGTCTGACAACAGGCCAAAACTGTGGCGACAGACATGACGTGACTTTAGGAGCAGCATTTAGAACTCGCTACGCATTGTCGTGTGACCAATACCTCCCTTTGACTGGGTTAGCTTGCTGAGTGATTTCCTGGAGCGCTTGCCAAACCCCCACTGGCTAATCCCTACATCATTCCTGTCCTGCTCCGATTGCCAATGATATAATCCGATTACCAATCATATAATCCTCTTAAACTAAATAGATTTCTAAATAATACCAACAAATACATGGGATTTTATGTTCTTAGGATTTGCATTCATAAGAGAATACGAGAGCATTTCTCCTGGTTACTTCAAATTTAGATTGGGACTAATCTAAACTGGGTTTTCACACACTCTTAATGTCGTTTATCCTTTGTTTCCATGCTGTGCAATTGGTGCTTCATACAATATTTTAGATGTTTTATTTTTGTTTTTGTTACACTCCCATTGTGTTTCCAATGAAGATCATGTGGGGGGTGGGGTGGGGGGGGGGGGGGGGGGGCAGGGAAGGGAAGCAAATTTAATACAAATCTACAATGTATTCTTTGTAAACTTGTTTGAAGCCTGAATTAAGCAACCTATGATGTTCAATGTCTCTTTGACATAGCATAGCACCAATACTATGAGAAGAAGAATCCTTGCATTTGATTAGGTCGTCAAGTCGTCTCAAAGCGTTTCACAGGATATACTGTAAAGTGGAGCGACTGTGTATTTGTAAGCGAAAGTGATAAGAACAAGAGAATTTGCTGGCAAAAGCAGACCGAGGTCCATCTAGTTCGCCTTCCACCATCGCTTGACGTGTCCCAAACTATATACTGTATCCTGAGATATGATTTTCTGGCAGAAATCTATCTATTTTGTTCTTGAAACAATTATGCGATGTCAACAGAGTTACATTGCAGTTGCTGTATGTACTCACATGTGCTGGGAAGCGTTGGGGAACATTCTGGAGTATTGAGGGGCTGAGTCCTCAGGTCCATGAGGAGCCGCGTGGCTGATGACCATCAGGACCGGTCGGTGCGGATAAATCTTCTTGGACAATTTAAAGTAATCCATGCTGTCATTGGTCATCAAGTCTGTCAGATAGTCCTATCGAGAAAATCATTTAGAATAATGATAATAATAACCCTTGCATTTGACGCAGCACCTTATCACGTCTTTGAGACGTCTGAAAAGCGCTTCACAGGATACACCATAAAGTGTTTGGGCTGCGTATGTTGTGGGCAGAATGGAATGGAATCGCAGGAGAAAGTTAAGTAACTTGAACTTTATTAATGGGTCCAGCAGTGGACTTGGGCCTGCCTCCGTGCAAGGCCTTGGGATTGTGAGATACAATTCGGCAGCCAATTCCGTCGGCGCTCGGGAAATTTCCCGATTTCCGGTATAGTCAGCCTCGCCACTGGATTGACCCCTTCTGAGCATGAGCCTGGCATCACCGTGCCACTGGCGACAGTGTTAATCTGCCACTGGTGCGAGAGGGGAGAATGGGTTTAAAGATTTTTTTTAAAAAAGTCCATATATTTCCCCCCTCCAGGTAAAACGATTTAACGTTCCATTAGACGTGAAAATCAGGAGAGTGCAGAAATATACAACACATTTCAATTTGTTTGAAAATACAGGACCCTACTGTGCAGGTAGTGCATTTCTCATACTTCAAGACACACACTGCAAAGTTTTGCACATGCAAGTGTTTTTCACTTTGTTCTAACTTCACTCAATTAAGCAAACCCATAGATAACCTCAAAGGCACTGCCATGTGCCGCCCTGTAACATTTTGCCCACAAAATGAACTTAAGACAGCAGAATGCTTCACTGCCTCCTTAAATTGTCATCCATCATATTTTAAAACTCAGACTGTACACACACAATGTGCCGGAAGATTTACAGTCTGTTCTGCAGACAGTCACAAAACTCAGAGAATTGCATACCGCTTATAATATAATATAATAATATAATATAATGACCTCTCCTTGTCTAACTCCTCATGATAATCAAGTGATTTAGCTACCAATTTTCTCAATGACATTTAAATAGCACAGAGCTGAACATCTTGCTGAGTGTCTTTGTAGTTGGATTAAGCCTAGTCAGTTTTGTTATCTGTGCTTTTCTGCCTCAGTCACACATCAGTTGCTGTTCGCTCACAGAGAAAGTCTTGATGCAACTAGCAATGAGGATACAGTATTTACTTTGACCTCTGTTCACAGTTTAAAACACTTCTAGAGAATCAGAGATTCAAGGCAAACACATCACACAAATCTCTCACCATCTATGATCATAAAGGAAAAAGAAGCATATATAGCTGATATCATGTTATCCATGGTACTGTGTGAACTGAACTCTGGCAGAGAATTGTGTAAACCCTCCTTAACCCAAATAGATTGCAATCTCATACTAGGCATTGACATAACGTTAGACATCTATGCTTTCACTATCATGCCATATATTGCAGAATTAAATGATATATATAATGAACAAATAGTCTCTAAACCATTTGCCCAACTTCATTAAGGATAATATCGTTGGGGTGAGGGTTGCAAGACATCCACATTCAGTTCCATTTGAAGTGGACCATCAAATTGACACCCTGTCTCCCCCAAACGATATCAATATCCGGAGCTGGTGGTGAGGTTATTCTCTGCTTGTATGCTACAGTGATTTATATTGTCAGTCTCCTGCAGCACCATTAACCCAAACCCTTGGGACCTGATAATAAATGCATCAACATTGCCCATTATTAGCAAGCAGCTAATCACTGTGCAGTGCAAACATTATTATTATATAAACTGTGCACTGGCAGCTGTTACAGTTTCAGTTTGTTCAGAGACAGAATCTTTTTTCGGTGGTTTATGAGATTGGATTAAATTCACAAGGTTAGCATGCTTCAACCAGGAGTTGGAAGCCAAATATCAGGACTGCAGCAACAAATGATTCATTTATTCTTGGATCGCCATAAAGCCACAACGTTACTGCAAATGGGAATGCTATGCAGTTTGCCTGCAGGCAACTTGAGAACTAAAATATTTAGCATTTTGCTTTCTGATAACTTCAAGAAAATCACAGAATATTTACAGTACAAGAAGGGATGATTCAACCCGCCATCTGTACACTGCTGTTAGCACCAGTGGAGCTAACCATTCTAATTGCATTCTTATGGTCTTTCCCCATATTTTTTATTAATACAGTATGTTTCCTCAAGTATTTATCCAATTCCCTTTTAAATACAGTTATGGATTTAGCATTAGGATCTATTTCTGGCAAAGCATTTAACATTCTAACAACCCTCTATGTTCATAAACGATATCTGCTAGACTTCTTTTCATCTCCAGGTGATAAACCTCAATTATTTCCTACCATTACTGACTGGCACGTCATTGGAAATAGTGTCCCTATCAAAATTATCCATCATTTTGTAAAGCTGCATTGTATCTCCAAGAAGCCCGCTCCCTCCGCTCAGCCAGCTCCGGCCTGCTCCACATCCACCGACCCACCCGCCCCACCATTGGCGGGAGAGCCTTCAGCCACTCTGCCCCCAACCTCTGGAATTCCATCCCCCAATCACTCTGCCTCGCCCCCTCCTTAGCCTCCTTCAAGTCCCGCCTCAAGACCCTCCTGTTCGACCATACCATCGGCCACCCCCATTTCCACCCCCAACCCCAGCTCGGGTCTGAAATGCTGTACTCTTTCCAGCTCCGTGGGACATCCTCCCGACGTGAAAGGCGCTATACAAATGTAATCGTGTTGTTGTTCACACATTACCCATTTTCCTGCTATGCTTAGATGAGCTAATATGACACTGTTTTGGGATGCTATGGTAAATGGTGTGCTTTTGGACTCATTGCTTTGTGAATATATATTCCATTTGAACTTGTTGAATTGTGCTAGTTTTATGTTCTTGTATACTCAACTACGATGCTAAAGTGGATGAATCAATATGCTAGAATGATGGGTTTTCCTATCCCCAGCTTTTATGGGCCTTTCATTCACAGAAACCCATAAAGAAACCCACACACGGAGGATGAATGGAACACATCTCAGTTCATTTCATTGTCCTAAACGCCCCATTGATGATGAATCATAATGACCACCATGTGCTCCATAATGTTTTGAATAAACACATTTGTATTTTATTGTATACATGTGCGCTACTTTAACATTGATCGCCAGACATAATGAGTCCCAATGTTTCCTGGGACTGGCACTAACCCAGTTCATGCTCAAGCAGTGTAAATTGTGATTTAGTGGTAGTGCTCATGAAAACATTTTGCTTAGGAGCGTGGCACTAGGAATGAACGTGATGATGGCAAAAAGGACCATGCTGTGCTGTTGGCAAAAATTGTGATAGTGCAACATAAATCACACTCCAGGTTGCTCCTTTTATCTTCGTTCTGTCAGAATGGAATATATTGCTGGCAGGATCATTTAGTCTAGGTTGCTGGTGTATCTAAGGTTCTGCACTTCAGGTAACATCTGAAATTGGGAGTGAAAACAATGCTTGTTTTTCCCAAAGCAGCAATGGATTTGCTAAGCATTGAAGAACACACTGTGCAAATGGAGCATGAATATGCAGAACTTCACAAACCAGGGCTTGGGTTCAACAACAACAACTTGCACTTATATAGCGCCGTCCACAAAGGGTAGAGTCTCAGAGCGCCAAAGGTTCAATCCTTCAATTGCATTGCAAATCACGAGTGCAATTTAATAGAACATTAAAGGAAGTCATTTTATTCAGTGGAGGAGGCAGTCATTTGCACCAGTAGTTTCCTGCCAATACCAACTCCTCAAGGTGATTTTATCAGACAGCCTCCAGCGAAATTCACTCTGACAATTTCCGTGTTGGGGTAATATGAAAAGACCAATATAAACAAAGCATCAACATTCCCTCAACCCCCCAAAAAAGTTTCTGGTTTTATTATTTTCGAGTTCTGAAGCAATTCGAAACAACTGGAATCCGCTGTTCTAAATATAAAGCAATGGCTCAGGCACTGACAGATTAATTGTCACTTGGCATCAGTACCACTTTATGCCACATCAGCCGCTATTTTTGGCATTGTGATTTATGTTTACACTCAGTTTGCCAACAGTGTGAGATCAAATTTCCATACAAAAAGCATTGCCCAGTAGTACATTATCTTTCCACTTGTGAAGGCAGTACCCAGTCAAAGTCATCTGAGATCAATTTGTTGGAATTGCTTTTAGTCTGCATCTGGTTTACAATCCATGAACATTCAGATCCACATAGAGCAGAGCAGCACAAAACCATCACCTTCATGTGTATAAGATTTGAATGTATATATAAGAGTTTTTTCGTACACTCCAGCTCTTTAACCTTCTCCTCAATATTAAAGAGATTTATTGGATGCGATCCCATACTTGAATTGCGTATTGGAGTTCCAACACACAACAGAAAAGATGGTGGATGTAAGTACACTAGACTCATTTAAAAAGCAGCTTGATACAGTGATAAGGGGATAAGTAAGGTGGGTGTTCTGGAGGAATGAAATGGATGGGCCGAAGGGCCTTCTTGATCCAGTCCAATCTTTTGAACTTGTGATCAGTTACATCTTTCAGCTCCTGCTCCCGTGACTTCAGTTAAAGGCTCCCTGTCTACATTGGCAGACATTATTTGTACGTTACCAGCAGAAGCCATGAGAAAGAGTGATTGAAGCACAAAAATGTTCAAAAACAGTTGCAAACAAATCAGCTAGTTCAATACAGAGTCCAGCTTGTTGAGCTGGCAGTGCCAACAAGCAGATGCAGTCATATTATTGCGGAAAGGGGTTAAGGAAAAGGAGACAATGGTACGAAAATGTAACAGAACGTTAATTATCGCAGGCAATGTCAGGTTCTCATAGTTTCTGTAAGAATGGAGACAAGAAAGAAACGCTGAACAAAATGACAGCAAGCAAAGATAAGACGTGCGACAATGACAAAAGCTTTGCAATATCCATTGCTCACAGTGAGGGGGGAGACAGGATTGAATAGATAGAAGTGGAGAGCTTCTTTTTGAACCACAAAATAAATCCTGGTGATGAGACACTGACAGCAGAAATGATTGGTTACATCGCTTTAAAAACAGACGTTAAGATCAGGCAATTAAAACAGGCCGGGGAGGGAGGGAAGAGGCAAAAATCATCTTAGACACCTCGCCTATCAATCCCTATCAGGGGAAAAAAAATGTGACAATATCCAGAAAGAGGATCTTTCTCGACAGAAAATGTGCGAAGTCAATGAGAGTAGCCTGGAGCACAAGTCCTTACCTGATAAATCAATTGCTGGTTATTGTGGATCAGGAGTGTTAGGTTTACACCATTACAGACAAATTTAAAGAAGTAGACACTTTGCAAATGGATCTGCTGAGCAGGAACTTTGCTTACACCGGACAGCAAATTGTAAACCTTCTCATTAATATTCTTTGAGCATTAGAAAATGGGAACACGTCTCACTAAGATTTACACCGCAGAAAGATGCCTGGTTAGGTTATTACATTTTTCCACTGAATTGACCAAGAAGAAATTTGTCTCTCAATTTACAACTTCAAATTTAAATAGACACATTAATCCACACCAGTTATCCAAATAGTATCCAAGGCTCCTGAAAAATGATTTGTGCTGTATTGATATTTTCACTCTTATGGAGCCATCGGGTCCACTCTGATATTACTTTGTGGCCTCGAGTGCAGAAATAAATACACTAAATCAAGAGGGAAATCGTGGAACAAATAATAAGATCCAGACTCAAGGGGAATCACGACTTTGATTCCATTCAACCACTGGGTGCATTTCATTTACATCAATAAAGTCAAGATCCATTTCTATTTCTGCATCATCTTCCATACCGGTTCCTTAAAATTCTACTAAACAAAAGGATCATGAAATTGTTAACAACTACAATCTACATTGTCATAATGTGATTGCTCTTTGACAGTAAGTACAACGAAAAAGATATCGATAATTTAGTAGATTTTCATTTGGAAACTTTTTCTAGATTTTTTCTTAATCTAAAAATAACACTGTAGTCAATGGAGAGTTAAGGTTTCCTCTCAACTAATTATAGGCAATTATAAATGATATGGACATTGATTTTTCCCTCTGTATTTGCTTTTAATGGCTGTGATTCCCTTCCACAATGTCCTTTATGTCAATTCAGGTCACTTTCATAACTTGACCAGTGACCTTTGCATAAAACTGTCTCAATGAGCAGAGTCAGCAAAAGATAAATTACTCCAAACATTACAAAAGTTCGAAGCAAAAATCACTAAATTATATCACTGCAGAAATTCAATCTTATTAGACTTTTCTTAAGGACTCGTGATCTGTTCAGGAAACAGGGACAGCACTGTATAAAGAAAACTGAGATTTTTTTTACTAAAATTACTAAATTTGATGGATCATTGCCCATATTCATCACTTGAACACTGTAGAGAACTGCAGTGGACTATTTATAGCCAAGTACCTTTGAGTAGTCAAATCCATGCTTCTCCTTTACGCCATTTCTATTAAGTGTGTAATTGTAAAACCGTGAATTCTTCACTAATCCAACCCACTCTCGCCAGCCGGGTGGAATGTAACTGCCATTATACTCATTGAGATACTTTCCAAAGAAAGCTGCAACAGAAAAAGAGAAAATTAAACCACTTTAACAGAAGGACTCTTGTATTTAATCTGCAGTTTTCAAAAACCTTCCACAAATAGATCAGCAGGCTGGAGATTTCTGATCAGTCAGTTTTCAGAGAATCACATTTATAATTTACATCGGGAAGAGAATCTGGATGTAAGAGTGTTTTGTAGCTTACCAAATCCCCTAAATGTTCCCTTTCCTTCTTGCGAGAAGCACGTTGTGGCTTGGGACAGTTTGAGTATATAATGGACCTTGCCACATTCGCCCATTCGAGAATATCCTGGAACCTTTACTTCTCGATTCAATGTTAGTTTTTTGTATTCAAGCCAAAAATATCCTCTCAATGTCGTGAACATGTTAAATTGTGGCCAAACTATTGGAGTTGGTGGAGAGTCATAGTGTACAGTAAAACAGTAAAAAAAAATGGTAACTGAGGGAGCCTAGCCTACACCTTGTCGATAGGTTTAAGAGAACTACAGATTGAGTTTGATCGTAACATTAAAATAAGCAAGGGAGGAAAGATCTTCTGGATGAGAGGGCTATATCTGGGACAGGTTTGCAAAAGCCTGCAAAATAGGATTTAAGATCAATCAGTAAGTGTAAGTCTTGACGAGCAGTACAGTACTGTAATGTGCAGTGACTGTATTCTGTAGGTGAACACGCCAGTCAATTTCTGCACGGCAATGTCCCACAAACAGCCTTGAAGTGAATAACCAATTTTATTTGGGGGATTGTGGCCAGCACACCGGGAGAAATTACCTTCTATTTTCGAATAGCGCCATGGAATCTTGAACATCTACCTGGACAGACAGTCGGGACTTATAATTTTAATTTAGAGCTACATTAGCGCACGTTTTTCAAGGGGGTGGGGCAATATTCTTACAGAATTACATAGGTTTTTGCCTGAAGAAAAATCTAATTCTTTAGGCAAAAAAGCTATGCAATTCTGTCAATGAGGTCTAAAGATCAAATTTGGAGTCATAAAATGCAATGGTCTACTTATTGATGAAGCTAACACAATCCACAAACTGCTTAAGTAACTGAAGGAGCAAGCTGACAGTACAGCTTTGAGCACAGCTTATAATTGATAATATAATTGTATGTAGTGGAATGCAGAACTATACAGAGGGGATCAGGGATTAAGAGGAAAATTTAGCAAAATTGCCTCAAATCCCAGAAATCCTTACAAAACAATCTGATCCGTGTTCTTCTGCAAAACACACAGTTTGAACTTATGCAATATTTTCTCCTTTTTTTATCCAATGAGATTTTTTTTGCTGATAGCAGAAATCATGAAGTGCCACTGTGATTGAATCGCGCCTTGAAATGAAAAGAAATTGCACCTCGCGATGGCCACTGAGGATTGCATTATACAATTCGAACATCATTTCTGTGGAGTTTTGTTTAACTCAAGCGATACAGCAGAAAGCGATAACATGATTAAAAATCTGTGCCAAGGTACCCAAGTGGCACTCTATCAGACATACTAATGCGGGTATCCATCACCAGAAGACAATGTGCAGCAAATAATAATGCTTGTATTTGCTAGGCAATCTGCAATGGAAATACGCAATAGAAGGAAGAACTATCCATAAGTCCTCGGACGTTTATGTGACACAAATATGTTTCACAGACTGGAATGGGTGGAAAGCGAGGAGCTACAGAAGGTTCAAACTCTTGTGCTTGATCTCTATTCTGCAGGTGGACCATAAGAAATGCTAAAGAGTTAATATGGTCAGTAAGACGGAAACCAGTGTTGGTAGGTTGCTTATACCCCCATAGTGCCAAGCCATCTTCTTATCATAGTGTTGCAGAAAATTGCTGTGGTCTATAAAGAAAATTGTTATCAATTACTTCACCCCAGGAACTGGTAAAAAGCTTTCTGAATGTCAGATGCGCAAGAGACAGAATAAAGCTAAGCTAAAGCAATCTTATGGGCTCCTGATAGATGGTATGAAAAATTGCATTTTGCACACCTCAACACACACTCTGATAACAAATTATTTTATAGTAATGTTCTCAGCCTGTGCACAGATACAGCCCATTGCTTGCAAATGCACATCGTGGATGAAGGGTGAAATCCAATCCCAGTCTCACATTCTTTAGATCAGGCTCTTCTCTAATTTACCAAAGCTCAGGGATCTGTTTCAAACTGTAAATAGTATTAGCAGTGCTAGATGGAGACAGAAAACCCATTAGCGGTTTCAGTGAAGATATTTATCTTGCCTTTTTTTCTGCTTTCTCTTCACCGCATATTAATAGCTTTGAGGTTATGTTTTATTGTGAAATCCAAAACTTTTGTAATATAGCAGTAAGCTGTGCCAAATTGGGTTTTCTAAATGGCAAGACCAAACAATGTGGCCGCAAGTATTTAAGCAGGGAATGTACTGGTAGCTCCCAGACCAATAACTTATTATTCTGAGCGAATTTAAGGAATGGGAAAAACTTTTAGCTACCTTAGTACTGTTGCCTGACAAAGCCCCAATGATTTTCGTGATGTGTAGTCAAATTTAAATCAAACTGTGTGTGTATGGATTCAGTAGAAAACTTCATCAAGACTCCAATTAAAAAACACATTATTGTGCAATTGGAAGGAGGAATTAGGCCTCTACACAGTTGCGGTGCTCTACACAGTTTATAGGATATCTGAATTTAGATAATTCAACAATCAACACTCAAATAGCAATGTTTTCCACTGGATACATTTTTAGCAGTGTTATTGGGTTTTAAATTTGCCGTGACATTTTTTTTTAATGGATATAGCCTATCCTGTACCTCTTTCTAATTTTAAAAACTGATCCCAAAGTTTAGCTTTATAGCTGAGGTCAAGTCAGGCTCACACTTTTGCATCTTAAAAGAGATGGAGGTGAGTGCTGCAAAATGAGTTCTCTCAGTCCTGAGCACCGCCAGCTGATTTCACCTGGGCAGGTCCTGTCAAGGTTAAAGTGATTTGTTCAAGAATAGATACCACACATTATATTTTAAGCCCACGGGCAGTTATCAGACGTAGCACAATCAATTGCTGAACAACAGAAAGCAGCATGTTGCAGTCTTTTGACATTTCGTAGTCCAATGCTGCCATTCGATAATGTTGTCTAATCTTTGAGCTGGAATTTATGTTCCTCGCGCATATTAACAGGGAGAAGATTCTACCATAATTTCTGTCTCGACATGAAAGTTCTGCAGAAATCTATTTTCGTTTTAGATTAGTTTTGTTGCGGTGCTCATTTTCCAATCTCAGTAACTAATATTTTTCTGACCCACAGTGTAGGAGATTATTACATGGAGCAGCTGAACATAGCTTGCATTAATTCTCTAAAGACAATGCAGACAACACGAGTTTGACATTTTGAAGCTCTGTGAAGCCAGTTTCAATAGATTTACTTTGTTTGGTAACATGTATAATCTTTACAGAAGATAGATCTCAATGTATGATCAAGTGGGAATGAAGCACAAGAAGCCAAACATATACTGGTATTTTTTTAAAAGCAATGTCAATTTCTTTTTTACAAAATATTATATAAAACCTTTGAAAATAATTATGCCGAAACAAGGGAGTTTGGATTGTATGAGAAAATAGCTTTGTGTCACTTCCAATTGAGCTCGCTCTCAATTGTGACAAAAGATTACCATAGCATATTTGTGGAGTCCTGTAGCTCAGTGGTTAGAGCACTCGCTTTGCAAGTGAGAGACCTGAGTTCAATTCCAGGCAGAGGGCGAAACCTTGGGCAAGTTTCCTTACTCCACACACCTAATAATAATCCCTCCAAAACCCAAAACAATAATAAATTGGTCATTTGAATCTACGACTGTTTGTGGGACATTGCTGTGCGCAATTGGCTGCCGCGTTCGCCCACAAATATACAGTCAATTCACTTTAGAGTGTGTTCTGTGAAGCGCTTTGGGACGTCCTCCCGACGTGAAAAGCACTATATCAAATGCAAGGATTATTATTATTATAGCAGTAGATATTTAACCGAATGGGTTGCTAGTTTGTCTGAAAACTGGTCTGGAAGACGTAAACCCTATAAAATGTACATATAACATGATCTTTTGTATGCCTGGTATTTTGTTCTCTTCTCGAATGAAGAGGAACCCATAAGGAAGCACAAAGTCTATACTTGCTTAATAAAATGGCAACGATTTTACTTTTGTATTTTCTGAGTTTGCTACTATCTGTTCTTAGCACAGCCAGAATGTGTCAAAATTGTACCATCAAGGCAATCAGCGCAGTGTGCCATGGCTAAGGTTTCAACACTGGTGTGTAGCCGTGAAATAGGATATAATTTTTTGTGTTCAACTGTAGGGATGGTGAACTTCAAAAATATCTAATGCATGATTCCACAATTGATATTCATTAATTCTGTTTCTGTGAAGAGGTTCTGGGAGGAAGGCAAAAATCCACGGTTGTCTGTCTAAAAATAACATTTGAAAAGTATCTCAATCCGCTGAATAACAAAGGTTCCAGGATAGCTTATCAAGCCATCACAGCCTGGTGTAGGGTAATGAATTATTCTATTTATATTAATCAGGATCCGTTCCGCAGTGCTACACAAACTTCCCTTCTTTCTTTCGATTAACAATTAGAGAGGACATAATATATGTTTTCTAACATTAACATGCTGTGCTGTTATTGGCAAGCAAGCAAGGCAATGATATGTTTCCGGCAATACCATTGGGGACATTTTGATTTCATTTGATTTCCTCCTGATACTATTGAGAAATAACTTCAAGTAGGTCATTGGTGTAAACTGAAGTCTACATGCTTTGTTCAACCAGCATGATGATGGAGCCACTAGGGGAAGGCATGTGACAGCATTCGCTTTACTGATGCTACAAATCTAGTTAAGGCTCGAGTCAATGAATGTTGAGTACCTTCAAAAGTTGCATCGTTTCAAAATACACTTGAATAAGCATCTGCTTGTGAACAAAATTGGAGGATATAGGGAAAGATAAAGACTGAGATGAGAAAAAAAAAGAAGAACTTACATTTTTAGGACCCCAACATGTCTCAAAGAAATTTTATACTAATTTTGTAGGTGTTAGCCTAAAAATACAGTCATTACACTTGAAATACACTTCAAATACAGTGATTACATTAACTCCAGGTCAATTGATTAACAGTCAAACATGACTGTTTGTGAGACTTTGCTGGCACAAATGGTTGCTGTATTTGCCTACAAGTACAGCCACGGCATTTGACAGTAATTAATAACAATAATCCTTGCATTTCATTTAGTGCCTTTCATATCAGGAGGATGTCTCAAAGAGCTTCACAGGATTAAGCTGATTTAGCGTAACTTATTTGACACCGTTAAAAATTGAGATGAAAAATAACAGACCTGTTCTGTATCCAGTGTTGTTCAGATGTACTGCAAATGTGCGGACCTCATGTGTGGCCTGCCAGGAAGGGGATGAGCAGTTCTCGTTGTTTGTGTAAGTGTTGTGATTGTGGACATATTTCCCTGTGAGCATAGAGGACCTCGAAGGACAGCACATGGGTGTTGTCACAAAAGCATTTGTGAAATGGGCTCCTCCTTGTTCCATGATCTTTTTGGTCTTATTCATCACTTGCAAGGAACCTAAAAGACAGTCACATAAGAATTTTGAAAATCATTGTCCAGTATTGGGGTTCTCTGTCGAATGCATCACACAAGAACATCTCCACAAATCAATCTTCACAGCAGTTTGTGGCTACGAGTTGATTATTTTAACCATGTGAAGAATCCTTACTACTCAACCCTTTCGATAGTAAGAATATACACCACTGGAAAACATGTTTGAAGCAAGAAGCATCAACAAATTTACGAGACAACTTGTTGCACACATGAGGAAGAAGGGAATAGAGTGCTACAGTAGAGGGAAATAAGAGGGATGGAGACTCATGTGGATATGAGACAGACTAGTTGTAACAGTAGTATGGAACAGAAAATGTTCTTATTTGTACCATTCAGGGGCCATTGTTGGCTTCAGAAGAATAATGGTTATGGAACATCAAGGTTATGAAGAGGAACTTGAGGACTGATGCCCCCATTGAAATTGTTGCCCAACATAACTCACCACAGTTAGGAGCTTAGAAGACACCTTTCCACGTGGAAGTTTGTTGGAAAATGGAATTCTTTGCCACAGGTGGCTTTTGAAGGATTTAATAAAAGATTTGATCAACATTTGAAGAGGAAGGATAATAAAGGACACAAGTAAAAAAAAATTCAGGGAATGGGAATTAGCATAGATAGTTTAGTGTGCGACCCAGCACCGATGGAGCACAAATCCTCCTCCTGTGCAGTAATTTCTATGATTGCACATTGGTGATAGGGAGGGATCATCAAAATAGGAATCATCCTGCTTAACTCTCCGAGCTTGAGTCACATTTGCTACAGGCTGATCAGTGGGAGTCACTAAGTACAAGCCATGGAGAAATCCACAGCATGAAGCATCCCACCTTCTCAGCTGGTGAATGATGTGATGCCAGGCACATGGAAAGTGGAGGAAATGAACACAGAAACACTCGGAATACGCAAATTGGTTTAGAATTAGACCAGCGAGAAGAAGCGGTCTTAGACACTTACGTTTAGCGACAGTGTTTGAATTTACATTTTTTGAATGAGCATTAATGTTCCATTCGATTTGAGGAATGATGTGAAATCGCAAAGATTTTATTATTCATTTGAATGATCTGTGTGCTATGAATATAAAGGGATCAGGAAATTTTATCTTGTGTTCCGTCCAGGTTAGGCAGAATCACCCATCTCCTTTGGCATCTGTTTGGTTCCTGAAATGTTTTTGTTTATTCGTTGCTGGGAAATTATTTCCTTTTGGCATTTAAAAAATGGCAACGTTTAAAATTAACAGGGTGGGATTTGCAACTTTGTGATGATTTTTCCTCCTCTACATCTAAAAGAAAGATTAGTAGGAACTTCTTCACGCAAAAGGCAGTGCGAACGTCTTTAAAAGGAATAGAGGTGTAGGGAAGAGGGTGGGGAATTAGAATGGATTAAGGTTCATGTAGAATATAAACTCTGACATGGAACACCTGGACCAAATAGTGCATTTCTGTGCTCTATTCTGGGGCATTCTATGTAATTCGATGTGTTAATCATCACCACTTGACAATGGTGGAAATAAAGGAGAATTGCAAGGATGTTTGAAACATTTGTTAGCAGTATTCACGGACTGTAGCGGTGGGTTTACCTCTCGCTGCTTTACTAGCCGAGGGAAAACTCCATGAAAGGACGAGAGGGGAGGGGGGAAGTAAATGGGAAAAAGGAAGTGGATTTTGTTGCAGAACAAAGTAGGTCTTAACCATCAGAATAGCATGTTGTCCATCTTACCAAGCTCCACATCTTGATCGTCCGTGTAAATGAGGATGATATTGGGTCTGATGTTCCTGCGATCTCGTTGGAAACGGGCTTTGAAGCGCAGGACGGCTGATCCGGGACTCACAAGAGCTACAGCACACAGCAAAATCAACCCCAGTGCCCGGCATGATTGTAACATTGTGCCTCCTGTCCACCCGAGGAAGGAGAGTATTTCTTCTTTGCTTCGGTCGCTTTCAGTTCTGCAATTGAAAAACAATGCAGTCAATGCAGCTTTTCACTTGGTAATTGAAAGTTGACCTTTTGTCTACCCGCCATGCGGTGACCTTTCACCCACGCTCACTGCGACAGAATTGACAATATCAATTCTGCCCAGCAGCCATTTACCATTTAGCAAATCAAACATCAGAAACCCATATAGACTATGCTATTAGAACAAATACATATTTAATAAGTGGGATTTCATGGTATGGGAGGGGTGGTAAGTGTGTGTGTGTATGTGGGGTAATAACTGTGTGCATGGGTACAAGTGGAAAATTGCACCCACATAATTCAATAAAAATTTAGTTTGACGTTTCGCCCCCAAATTACACATTCAATCCACTTTACAATATCTTCTCTGAAGTGCTTTCAGACGTCTTAATGATGCGATAAGGTGCTATATCAATTGCAAGGGTTATTATTAATGTGATTCACTAAAATTGGATTATTGCTGGGCTCTAGATTCAACAGACATCAGATTTCCATACACACTAACTCTAGGAAGCATCATGTGTGCAAACTGCATGAGCTACAGAGAAAAAANGTCTTCCATTTGGAAAATAACTGATATAAAATAATGGTACTAATGGGGGAGGGTAATAACTGCACGCACACAAGTGGTCAGGACTGAATGAAAAATTGTACCCGCATAATTCAATAAAAATTGAGTTTGAAAGTTAAGTGAGTGCAAAGTATTCAATAAATGCTGTTCAATGGGCACAAATGGGCTGAAAAATCAAGTGTTTCTTGAACTACGCAAAACTCACATTCAGGAAGGCATCACACACTCATCATCTGAGAAATTAGATTCCAAGTGAAACCCTACGGCACAAGACGTCGGAGCTCCAGCACACTGCATCTGTGCATAGCATTCAGTTTTATGCATCTCTTATAACTGCTACACACAAAGTGATAGAATGGCTCAGAGCAGGAGGGCTGATTTATACACCTCCCTCCTTATCAGAAGGATCTGTGGGCTGTTAAATAACATGCAGTTGGATTTAACCAACTCTTTAGCAACACCATTAAAAAACAGCCAACAAACAGTCCAACTGCATTCATACTGCAGCTGTAGGTGTCCACTTGCTATCGAAAACATCTTTTTAAGGTGGTCTTAGTTTTGTGCTCTACGCAATTCTGAGTTGCTCATCTTGTGTTTGTAGCAAAATGCACAGCAGCAACAACAACAACGTTCATTAATATAGTACCTTCTACGTGGAAAAAAAATGTCTAAGCTCTTTACAAAATTGATCTCGGAGCACATCTGTATGCAAACACCCAACTCCTTATAAACAGGAAGCAAAATGTTTAACACAGCAGGTGGTTAAGATGTGCAGATACTGCAGGTGTACCTTAGTTCTGCTCCGCTACGCTATCCATTATAATAATAATTTAGTAATATATCAGTGCTCCAAGACACTACCTGTGTTAAGGGCACTATATACATGCAAATGCAATGGTAGTAATATAGAGCTTCTATGCCATGCGCAAAAGGCACTTTACGAACTAACAGCACACACATTGATAAAATAAAAGGTGAAATGTATTCTGGATGGGATACTCCTCAAATAAGCAATGCTGAAAATTGAACTAGCACATAGTTGTAGCTGCGGTCGTCACTTTCACGCCACCTCCACCCAGAGCTCATTTTAGCCTTTCTTTGTATTCCGTATCCACAGGTAAGCTAGAGCAGCACTCACGCTGAGAATACTTGTTAAAAACAGAGACATCCGGACACATCTGAGACCTACATTGGTGACTTTGCTCACCCAGCCTTCGTTAGTCTGGAGGCTTTAATAATTCAGTTCAATTTTATACGACTGTGCCATTTTTGCAGCATTACTAGTTTTTCTCAGTAACCTTCCTTCATCCGGCAAATAATGCAGCTTCTACATTGAAATCAGTTATCATCTGAAATCATTTCCTGCAGATAAATGAAACTGCCTAGCTTTACCTTGCTGGTCATAACCTGAGTGTCTGAGCAAAGGCACTTCTCAGAAGCACCTCTTCTCTACAAATCACATTCTTACAGTCCTCATACCGAGCTGTGTTCAAGGGAAGGGGAAAAAAAAACTCAATTTTTTCATCAATGTAGTGCGAGGCATTTTGAAGTACATATCTTCTTACCTCATCTGTTCAAGAGTTGAATCCTCACTGCAGCTCCTATCTATAGAGCTTGCAGTATTGCCTCTCTGCTCTTTCAGTCTCTGTCAGTCACATGAGCTCGATATCTTAGGTCCTTGCAAATGTACTGGTTTAATTTCTCTGCTTTAGCTCCCAAACATGCACTTGTAATGACTGATGTGCCCTAACCTGGAGGTCATGCTGAGCAATTTGCCACTGTGTGGCTGCCCTATCTAGCATATAAGGCAAGATTTATTTTATACACAGATGAGACTAAGAGATTTAAATGTTGAGGAACAATAAAACATAATGTCACCTGTATTAGACTAGTCTTTAATCCTCTGAGAATCTGAATAACACTGAGTAACCTTGATGCTGAAGCAGATGAGTGCCGCATTTTATTGACCAAATGCTTGTACCTTTACACTGCACGAATCTCTGGACGAGGCCTACCTGAGTTTGAGAACGTCCCACAGAAAGAATGCCCCACAGTGCGGACATGGGTGTTTATGGCGCAAAATGTGTTTGTATCCCAATATTTTACCCGAAATACTAATGCTGTACTGTCGAGAATATAATTACTCATGAAACATTTTGTGGCAGGATAATACCATTGCACAAGAAAACCCCAGTGTATTATAAAAGGCAGCAACTTTGGAGTGATTTCAAGGCAATAATGTCATCTTGGGCTTCACTTGAGAGTTATTCAATGGCATTGACTCAGTGTGTGACAGTGCCTGTACCTTTCGATACCAATGCCATCTTGCAGTTGCTCCCAAACATCTATTCCCAGTGTCATCCATCATATAATACAGAGGATACAGTAAATAGAGACTCTGTAGGTTTACATCAACTGTAGATTTATTTAATGTTGACTTGTTAATATTCAGCATTAAAAAACAGATGACTATTACAAATGATGGAAAGGAACGCAGAACTCGACAGGGTTCAGGACAAACCCCAACTGTATAAATAACGTGTTGCAGGGGAACTAACCCCTTAACCCCTTCTAATCCAGAGGGTACTGGGTTTTATGATCTCTAATATCAGCTGCAAATCAAGTGGCTTTCATCAGTCTAGGTGCAGAACAGATTAATTTTAGATAAGGGGAATTCTTTCAAATAAAAGGCGTATTGCATATAAAAAGAAAGCACTCTTAAGCATAGTCCGGTCAGTAATCTATTGATTACTCATTGTCCATATCTGTCAGGAGGAGAAATTTATACATAAATTTTCATAATGGTTCCAAAAAACAGACTCAGGCTGATTTCTGCACGTATAATTGGTTGCTAACATGATAAATGAAGTGCAGTAGGGGCACAGCTGCAAATCCATATAAATGAATGTAGATTTAATGAACCTTAGGTGTTCCAGTTGATTACTGTAGAGAAAGCCATTGGGTTGATTGATAAAGCCTCCATACTCCGAAGACCATTTTGGTGGTGTATTATCTTCTGTCTCTGTACTGTGGAAAAGTTTTTTTTCTACAACAAGAAAGCTCTAAAGAGATTGAAGCTACCTTAATGCTACCTGAATAGACGCCATTGCAATCTGCTCATTTTCAGATTCACTACAGACAGGATACACCGATGCACTCGGATGCAATAGGATTTCAGTACTGTAGCAACAAAACACTTTTAGGAACTTACTTAAAAAGTCCACTCCTGACTCAGTGAAACAAATTCCAATGGTGCATTTGTACTGAGAAGAATTTCACTCATTTTATCTCTTAACATTTTTTAAAAAATTCCATTCATATAACCACGATTCTACACGACTAGGGGGTTTGTTTTAAGCAGGATTTATTAGTGGAGGAATCATTAATATTGTGATTCGTATGACTAATAACCTGTCAGATAATAATTACCATATGCACATACTTTGCTGTAAATTCCAACTGTTTTTAATGCTGTTTTATTTAAGGCAGATTAGTGGGCCTGCTGTCCACTCAGGAATGTCACTTTGACTGTGAGGGTGATGTGCGAAGTGGGGCTACCTAGAGAAGCCCACCTGCAGTAGTCTGGCACTAGAATAGATTTGAGGACCACTATCCCATCCATCATCACTCCTTACCCTCAGACAGTGCGATGGCAGACCAGATTAGCTCACATCAGAAACAGCTGGAGCCATCGCCCAGCAGAACAGACCTCCAGCCGTTTGTTCTGACAGAAAATTGCTTGGACCAATAAAACAGAAATACTGCATTTGTTTTTTTGGGAGGAAAATAAGTCCACTCGCATTAAAACCAGGTGCACTTCCACCCTTTTTTTGTGGCACAGGTGAGAGCCAAGAAAATGGTCACTGTAGTCAGTGCCTGGAGTCTGCTCAACAGACCACGTCATTTGCAATTGCTGATAATTGTTACAGCAAATAGCTTGTTTTAATTAAATTCCTGGTACTACAACAAATAGCTGATTATCTTCTGGCCAGTGTAAAATGCAACTTTAAAGCACTTTATTATACCCAAGTGTGTTTTTCTTGACTTGCATTTAAGACCATGGTGCATTTAACTCTGAACCAATTAGATGCCACAAACATGATATGTTTCTTTTCATCTGTACACAATGCTGAAACCTTTAATAAATTATAATAAAATTATAATAAAATCTCTTTTGGCCCCAAAGATTATTTGCCTTCTGGGCTACACCAGGTTCCCTCTGCGGCTCACATCGCACAAAGCCTGGTGGTCTGTCTGAATTGTTCAGTCTGCCAAGGTAATAAAAACAATATCAAGCAGTTCAGCGATTGAGCACCAGCAAATTCCAACAGTTTATGAAACTGATTTACTGAGGTGAAGTGAAACTAAACTCATAGTCAGACTTGCAGAGCAGACAGACATTACCAATTACCAATGCCA